GAAGGCTGCGCTGACACTTTTTACTAAGCTGCGACGGACACGAAACAGCCGCCCGCCACCTGCTCCCTCTGCGAGCAAGTAGCGCCAAACGCCTCTTCCCAGATCCCCTCCCACTCTGTTTATCCGGGAAACGCAGAAAGTTTGTGCTTTCCCGCAGGGAAGCGGCCGGGCGCTGCCGGCCCCGGGGACCCGGCAGGGAGGAGCAGGATGTCACCACGGTGATGAAGGGGGGGGGGGGGGGGGGGGGGGGGGGGGGGGGGGGGGGGGGGGGGGGGGGGGGGGGGGGGGGGGGGGGGGGGGGGGGGGGGGGGGGGGGGGGGGGAAAGCACTAAGGTCTGGTTGTGCTTTGGGTTTGAGTCTCTGAAATGGGGATTTGCTCTGAAATATTTGTGCAGCTGAGCAAACTCCTGCCGGGAGTAGGGGGGGAGGGTGCTGGGATAGCGGCACTTGGTTTCTCCTGCACCGCGGTGCTGTAGCCAGGGGGGGTTGGGTCCTTCAGAACGGGGGTGGCTGGGTCAGATTAAGGCTAGGAGGGGCTCAGGGAGGTCTCAGACCCTGCCAGGGCCGGGCAGGCTGAGAGGACAGGTCTGCCTTGAGGAGGAGCAGGGCAGGACAGCAGCAGGGTGAGCACACCAACCCTTGTTCTGCACCCCCGTGTGCAGGGGATGTTTGTACAGCACGGTGGGCAGAGAGCTGGGCCTGACCCCATCCACCCCTCCTGGTGCCCCCCACAGCCCACCTGTAGGACCTGGACACCAACCACCCTTGTGCTTCAGGTTTCAGGTTGTTCCCCACCCCAAAGAGGCTTTACCTCTTCAGGCAGCTCCTTTAATCTTCAGCCTGACCTTTTGGCCAGACTCTGGCATCACCTTCCGTGGGGAGGTTACCCCAGGCTGATCCTCTGAAGCCTCCTGGAGAGGGGCAAGAGGGACCTGCAGGACAGCAAGCCTCTGGAATAGCCAAGCAACACATCTTGGGACTCCAGAGGTTTGCAACAGAACCATTTGGGAACAAATGTTGCAAGAGCCTCACATGTTTGTACCTCCTGTGCACACCCACGAGTGTCTGGAACAGCTGTTGGAGCACCCTGGGCTCCACATCCATCCTCTCCTCCCCTTTCAGCTGGCTGATCCCACCTCCCATCCCTTCCCCAGCTCCACTATCACTTTCCAACAGGGAGCAGCAGCTCAGCAAACCTTCCCCAGAGCCCAGAAGTGTCCCTTGGTGGATGAGAGCAGGGCCTGTCCCAGGCGTTGGGCAGCACTGAAATAACACCCTGCAGCATCTCTTCCACACACTTTCCCCAAGCAAGAGTGATCTTTCAGCATTACCCTGCGCACACAGCGGTGCTTCCCAGCTAAACTGGCTCGATGCTTGGCTCTGGGAAATCTCATTTGCCCTCTCAAAGAGGCCCCACAGGACCTCCAAGTCACCCAGGAGGCAGGAGAGCTCTCCACGTCGGAGACAAAGGAAATGAACCGGGGCAAATCCCCCACCCACGGAAACCAGCCCTGGCATCTGGTGATTCACTGTGATTTACACCAGCTGGCTCTGGCCACAGCGAGTTCAATTCAAACCAGCTGAGGCTCTGGCACAGCCCGTGGGGCTGGGGAAAGAGAAAAGAGAAGGCAGGACGGGGCTGTGTCAGAGCCAGCTGTAGGTGGGTGTCTTGAGCTCCAGGTTTTCACCCCAGGAGTAAGCAGAGGTGGGGGGATGGGGTGCTGTCCTATGGCCTGTGTGGGGTAGCTGAGTGGTGCCCAATCACCCCACAGGCTCCCTGTCTGGGAAACAGCACCAGGACGGGTTTCCAGCAGGTCTGTAATCTCAGGCAGTGTGGAATTATCATGGCAGTGGTGCAAGGACTGGGAAGCTCAGGTGTGGTTAGGGATGTGGGGAGAGGTTGCTAAGGTGACTTGGGGCTGTGCTGGTCAGTGGTCTGGACTGAAGTGCAGAGCAATGGTTTCTATCTGATTGCTGTTTCTTGAGGTGGATCCCAAAGCTGTGCAGTTGGGCTGGAGGAGGATCTACTCCAGGTGGGCTCTGTCAGCCTGGATGGTGGAGACCCCCCTGCAGATCCAGGGGCTGAGCCGTGGAGGTGGGAGCTGCTGTCCACCTCACTAGTGCTCAGAGCCAGCTGCCTGCCAGCATCTGTCTGACTGGGCCAGGACAGGAGGGATGTGCAGCCAGAGCTCCCAGGCTTGTCCCTGCTCAGCTGCTCCCCCTCCACCTGCCCCTGCGTCCCCTTGTAGCCCCTGCTGCCCAGGGGCTGAGGGGTAACAGCAGCAGTGAATATCCACAGAGCTCCAGGATTTCTGTGCCAGGGAAGAACCTTCACCATGTTTATCATAACCACATTGGTGGCCTGAGACCATCAACAGTTGAACAGAATGGTGCCAGAAGCCTGTAGGAGCTGCGATGGCCTGTCTGGCTCTTGTCATCCCCTGCTCCACTGAGCAGCTGAGGGGAAGCCTCTCTGGGCTGTTAGGTCACTGCATGCACATTTAATTCCCTTATAGACTTCTCCTGCAATGTTTATGGCCAGGAACATCTTACCAGTGTGTTGCATCAGGAATATTCTGTTCCCTGAGCTCAGGGACACCGGGCAGTCACGCCCTGCTGCGCGGTGGCATCCTGCCACAGAGGCATGGCTGACACTTTGCTAGCGGATCTCCATCATCTGAACTACAGTTTTATGGAATATCCACTCCTTTTTCAGTGCATTTCAGCTTTTACTCAGTGTTCAGAGTCATGTTAGATGAGAAAAGCAAACGGAATCGGAGGCTGGAAACCCTCAGTCATCAGCTCAGCTCCTGGGTTTTGAGGGGCTTTGGCTGGGCTGTAGCTGCATAGAGACCTCAGCTGGGACTCTGGGAGGAGGAAGGGGCCTTGCTTCAAATCATAGCTTTTGGTTTTGGCCCTGACTGGGTTATTCTGAAAGATGAAGCCGTGTATTCCTGTGGATGCTCTCCTGAGGAGCGGGAGCAGCAGAGATGGGGCAGAAGGATAGTGCTGAGGTGGGGGACTCTTCACGGCCACATTGAGAGGGGCTGGAGCACTCAGAGGTGTTGGTACTGAGGCATTGGTACCTGATGATCATGGCAAGTGTGAGTGTCCAGCTCCTCAAGTTTCCTTCTCTTGTTAATTCCTCCACTCAAGCTCATCAGCTGCTGCTTGGCTCAGGCTGAGTTTGGCTCTGCTGCCAGAGGGATCTGGCAGAGTTGGATCTGGGGTCCATGAGACCTCCTGGAGCATCTCCTCTCCGCCTGATGAAGCTACCATGGTTCTGAACTCACCTCCCACTCCAGGGACACCTCCTGTACTGGGGCTGGTGAGCTGGGAGGGAGCAGAGCACCCAGAGCACCACGTCTGCCCTCCTTGCCTGGGCTGGCTCTGAGCATCCTCCTCTGGAGATCACCTCCTCCAGCATGGCCCTGTCCCAAAGCTGGCTTCACACCACGGCCCCTGTGTGCACAGCAGAGCTGCAAACAGAGCTATGGCCAGAAAATGCTGCCACTGCTATGGCTCTGCAGCCACTTCCAAGCTCTGTGCCTCCATTTCCCCCCCCAGCCTGCTCAGTGCCAGTGTCCCTTGGAAGGAACTGCTTCTTGCAAGGGCTTTTGCAGCAAACAAGGAATGGGGCCTCAAGCCCTGCCGAGACTATGGCATGTGCCACCCTGGAGTGGGGCACAGCTGTGCTGACAGGGGACAGGGAAGGTGCTGCACAGCTTTTCCCCCAGGGTTTCCTGTCGTGGTACTGGAGAGTGGGGAGTGTTGCCTGGGCAAGTGTGTTCAGGTCTGGCACTTCCCACGTGGGCTGGGGCAGGATGTGGGCACCTGGCACGCACTGGCCATGGGATACCAGCAGCATTCCCATCCTTCCCTGCATCCCTCACTGCTCACAGAGCCCTGGGGCCCTGCTGGGGCACTTCAGTGGGTTTTCACACCTGGGCCCCATCAGTGGCTGTGGAGGGATGATGGGAAATTGGGACAGTGGAGGTGTCTGAGAACTGCCTCTGTACCAGATGTCTCCCATTTTTTCCCAAATAAGGGGACTCTGTGTGTTGGGAGCCTCTCTCCAGCAACTCTGGGTGCTGAGGAGACATTGAGATGTGCACGGGCAGCCCATCCATGAGCCCACCCCGATTCTGGGAGCTGGCATGGGCTGGCACATCTCCTTCCAGCTGTGGCTGGAGGGCACCAACAGCGTGATGCCGTCCAGCCCCATCCCAAACCCCTCACCTGAGCAGGTCCCTGGGGAGCAGCAGCTCCCAGGGCGGGGCTCAGCATCCCTGCAGCCACCCGTGCCCCTGGCCCAGCTCCAGCCCTGGTGGCAGTGCCAGGAGGCCGTGCCAGCGCTCCCGCCTGCTGCCGCTCCGGCCCCCGCGCCGCCCGGGCACGGCCGGCGTGTCCCAGCAGTGGGGGCCCATTAGGACTGAAATGTTCCTACTGGGGCATTTTATTTGCACACTTCAGCAGAGTGGACACCAAAAGGCTTTGCTAATGCTTCATGGGCTGCTAATTTCCTCTCTGACCCGCATTGTCGGAGGGTGACCCCAGCCCGAATCTCTCGGCAATGAATGCCAAAGGCTGACACTGGTCCGGGTTAGGGGTGACAATGGGGCCTCTGTGGGCTCCGGGCAGGCTCCAGTTGGGAGCTGGAGAACAGGGGGAATTTGTGTGGCTCTCAAAAGCTCTGGGTGGCACAATAAGGGAGGCCCCCGGGGTCTCCCAGGAAGACAGAGGCGGCCCAGGGAAGCCGGGCTGGGGGAGGCGGGCGGGAGGATGGTTTCCTTTGTGAGCAGCTTTCTTTAGAAAGGAAGGGTTTTCTGAATGCCCCCTTAGACGACCCAATCGGGGCCTGGCAGATGGATATCACAGGCACGCTGCTTATTCATGGCAGGCTGCAGCTTTGAGCCGTCCCCCTTCCCCCAGCCCTTTATTCATTTTAAGGCTAATTTGTTTTGTTAATGTTTTCTTGCCCTCCCCCTCTCTCCGTGCAGATTGTGACTCATACTGCAAAGCCTCCAAGGGGAAACTGAAGATCAACATGAAGAAGTACTGTAAGAAAGACTATGGTGAGTCCTCCCTCTCAGCGCTCCTTCCCAGGGATGAGAGGTGGCGGATGCAGAGGAGGAGCATCCCCCTCTGCGCCGTCCCCAGGCCCTCCCAGCCCAGGGAAAGGCTGCTGGCTGTGTCCCAGCCACAGCCGTGGGCAGCCCAGCTCTGCCGATGCCGGGGTGTGTGCAATTTTGGGAGCGATTTTTGCCAGGTCTGCAGAGGAAGCCCTGGGCAGCGATGCTTGGTGGAGGAAGTGACGCAGTGTGTTTCTTGGGAAATTGGGATGAAGACACCAATCCCATGATTTGAGGGTTATCTTAGTATCTGCAGGGACACTCATGTTTTCCAGGTGTTCTCAGTGTCTTCTTGGTGACAATGGTACCATGTCCCCTCTCTTCTCACCGTGCTATAAGGTGCAGCAGCTTTCAGAAAAAATGTGCTTTGCCATGGGGATGAGTAGAGAGCAGTTCCCTGTCACCCAGATCCATCCCTCCTTTAATTCCCAGGCAAGTTCAGAAGGTGGTGCAGCCCTGGGACAAGCCAGGGATGCTGTGGAATCCTTGCTGGTACCCAGGGCCCTGAGAATCCTTCCACAGCTCTGCCCTGGAGCTGTGCCTTGGAGGGGACACATCCCTGGATCTCTGCTCCTGGGTCCATTCCCAGTGTGGGTCCATGCAGGACATGTCCAGGGTGACCCCGGGAGGAGCTTCTCTCCTCCTTGACTCAGACATCACCCAGTGGCAGGTAGGGAGGGATGGCTCTGCTCTGTCCCACCTGCCCAGAGGATCCCCCTCCTTTGCCAGCCATGGGATGAGCTGAGTGTCAGGAATGGGACTCACCTGAAAAAATCTGGTTAAATACAGATGCTGTGTGCCAGGGGATGGTTAGAAGTGCAGCTAAACTTGTGGAGGGGCTGGAATTTATCTTCCCCCCTCCATGAACTCTAGAGGTGAGCCTGGCTCAAAGTTGAGCCTTCACACGTGAGAGCAACCAGGGAATTCCAAGGAGCTGCAGGACAGGGTTTAGCATCAGCCCTTCCTTTCACAGGAGAGGAATACATAAAATATATACATTTAATATATATAAATATATTAAATGTGTATATATGTATCTCTCTGTGTGTATGTATATTTCCGCCAAACTATCAAGAGAAAGCATCCCATTCCATCCACATGAACACATCCAGAAGTGGAGATACCTCCTCCCTCCTCTGAACACACAGCAGCAGCTCAGCATGTCTGGGAAGTGTTTGCAAGAGCAGAACGAATTCCCATTTAACAGCCCATCCCTGGACAAGGAGCTTCCCAGCAGGGCTGGCTGAGGGATGCTCCACACTGGCTTTGTGCTCTGACACTTCCCCGTGAGCTCAGGGGAGGGGAAAAAGGGCTTGGAGGCAAATCTGGTATTTGCATTCCCATTTATCCTTCCTTTATCCACATGGCAAAATGGTTGTGGAGCACAGAGTATCCCTGGGCAAGGATGAGCTGCCAGGGCTGGGGTGCAGTTGTGGTCCCATCCAGCAAGGCTGTGCTGGGGTCTCTCGTAGGAGCTGCTGGAGGTTCATCACACTTTGGAAAGGTCCAAGGAATGCCTTTTCCCTCGGATAAAAAGGTTTAATGGCACATGGGAAAGTCACTGCTAGAAGGTTATTATGTGGGATTATTAAGGAGGGGAGCAGGGCTGAGCCCCAGGCCACTAAAGCCATGGGGTTTCCTTGTGGGTGAATTCTCTGCGGGCTAACAAGCTACAAACACATTTCCCACATGAGGACCTGCATCCCTCCATTTTCTCACCTGGCTTCTCCAGCGTGTCTTGAGAACTGAGCTCACACTGGAGCATCTCCCCAAAGAGGGGAGAAAGCACTTGCTTTCTGCAGGAAACTTGGACCTGTCATGATCCAGGTCAGCCCAAGGGTTTGGGAGAATGAAAGGGAGAACAAAAAGGCAAGAGCATCCTCCTCAGAACAGGCCAAGCAGTGTCACCTTTCCCTGCGCTCTTGGGGCGAGGGTTGGGGGGTTTTGGTGGTGGCAGCACTTGGGCTTTGCTCGGGGGGGCAGCCCTGGGGTGGTTTTGCTCCTTGGCTTGTCCAGTGTCACCAGGAGGGGTGTTGGAGGTTCAGCTGAAAGCTCACACTTGGTTTTGTTTGAGGCTCATGGGCTCCAAGAGACTCTGGGAAGATGAGAGTGGCTCAAGAGCTTTTTTGGGCAGGAGATACCCCTGGAGCTGTGAAATGGCAAGAGATACCACCAGAGCAGTGATTAGGGGGGATGGAAAGAGGTTTTCTCTTTTATCCCGCAGCAGCACTTCTGCAGCTTCACCAGTGAGCCAAAACCCTTTGCTGGTTTGGGTGAGCGAGTGCAGGATGGTGAGCTGGGGTGCTCCCACCCGAGCCCTCCTGAATCTGAAGGGGTCCCCAACAGCCCCAACCAGCCCCACAGCCACGGCAAATTTGCTTTTCCAGGGGCAAACCAGCCTGGCGAGGCCGCAGGGTGAGCGGTGCCGTGCCGTGCCGGGGCAGCCCAGGCTTTCACCAGGGCGAGGGAGGGAAGAAAGGGATGAAAAGGTGCAGGGAGGGATAATAAAGACTTTGGGACTGACACCCCAGCAGGAAGCCAATTAGGAGGCTCTTTTCCTCACCGTTCTGCTGCCATCGCTGTGCTGAATGTCCTAAAAGGCCCTAATTAGCTTGAACAGAGTTACTTCTCCCGCGGGCTCAATCGGCAGCTATCATCCGCCCGCGCTCCTCAATGGGGCTTTTTAGCTCCCCGCTTCATTCAGCCATTCAAAGGGGATATTTTCCCTTATTTATTTTTCTTATCTGTTTGTTTTTGTTGGGTTTGTGTTTTTTTTTTTTCTTTTTATTTTAAATTGGGCTTTTTCCCTGCGAGATGGGTTTTGGTGCAAATATTTGGAGTGAAACAGGACGCGGGGAGGGCGGGCTGGGAGATTCGGAGAGGGGGGAAGGCAGGAAGAGAAGCAGAAAAGCTTCTTCTGGGTTCATTTTGGCTGCGTGGGGAAGCGCAGGGTCACCCAGCTCCCAGAAATCCAGGGGTAGAGGAGGGGTTTCGTTGGGTTGGGGTCACTTGAATTAGCCTAGGGGAGCAGAGGGGATCCCTGCTGAACCCACTGAGGGTGGAGATTCCCCTGTGGCCCAAAAGGAGAAGGGATTATTTGATTAGAGCAGGTGATGCTGATCCAGGTGATGTGGGAGCATCGTTTACTCCCTTGGGTGCTGCCTTTTCATCCTGACCTTTGGGGCTTTTCCCACTCTCTGTGGGATTGTGGCTGTGGTAAAGGAAACCTGGAGCTTTTAAACCTCATTTCCCCCCTTTATTCTGAGCCCCCTGTGCTGTACCAGGGCCTGATCCTGCACAGATGATCCCAGAAGTGTTGTGCTGGGTACCAGCACTCTGGTCTCAGGCATTGCCCTCGTGTCGGGGAGAGGATGGGGGTGAGGAACGGGCTCCTCATCTGAAAGGTGAGATCATCTGCTCACTTTGCCCTTTCTTGGAAAAAAAAAAAAAAAAAAGGTGAAAAAACCCACCTTCTTTTCGTGGAGCCTTCACTTAGTCACCCCCTTTGTCGAGAGAAGCTTGGCAGGGGCTGCTGGAAAAAAGCAAAATGTGTTTTCAAAAGGCAGCTTGAAAAGAGGGAGGGGGGAGAGAAACCCCTGAATCCACAGGAAAACACAAGGCACGGGGAGGGGAAGGACCATCCCCGGTGCTCACAGACCCTTCCACTGCCCGGGAAGGTGGAGAAATCCCGTTCCTGGAGCAGGGAAGCTGCAGGAATCCCTCCTGTAAGCACGTGGTGAGGGAGTGAGGGACTGTGAAGGGTCCCCCAGCACAGGGAGGGGCCGTGCCTGGCCAGGGCACACCCAGGCCGGCCGGGATTAGGGGTCATAAATCTCCAATATTAAACCAGTAGGAAATCGGCAACTCGAGCGAGGCAAAACCACCGCCAAATAAATTAAAAACTAAAAAACACGGGGAGAAAAATCCCCTTTTAACTCTTTGCTCCAGCGAGGAGCCAGCCCTTTACGTTCCCAAACCCAGATGGTGTCGGGGTCGCCTTTAGCTGCTGGGTTGGAATAAAATCCACGTGGGCTCCACTCTGCTTGTGCAGAGTCTCAGGCTGGGACACCCGAACCGCAAGCACCCACTTCCATCAGCCCGTATTAAACACCCACTTCCATCAGTCCATATTAAAGCCCTTGTTGTTGTCCCAACAAACTGCTCTGCTCCCACTGCCACCCTCTGGGCCCGTGGAATCTTTGCCAGGGCCCAGCTCAGCGATGATCCCACTCTCTGGAAGCTCCCCAAAGCTCCAGCTCCCATGGACAGGTCAGTGCACAGGATGCACAGAATATTCTGTGTATCCCCAGTAGGATGCACAGGTTTGGCCCTGCAGCCCAGTCTTGGTAGGGGAAACTCGGAAAGCAGGAGATTAATCACAAACCCCAAGAGCGAACCTACAAAATTAAATAATTAATTTTTTTCCCAGCCTCGCTCTTTTCGTGGCAATCCCAGGATTTTCAGGCCCCTGACTCATGGTCTCTGAATGCTGCAAGGAGCTGCTTTGCTTTAAGCCTTATGCAGCTGCCCTCAGACGTGTTGTTTGGAGGGTTTGGGTTGGGTTTTGTTTTTATTAACATCGAGCCATCCACCCTTCTGCTTTCAGCTCCAGCATCCAGCCTTTGGGTCTTCCTTGTGGCTGGAGGTTCCCTGCCAGGTCTGCAGGAGCCAGGCAGCATCCTGAGCTCCAGGGAATGCAGGAGGGGACCAGGGACACTCCATCACCTCCCCTACACTTTCTTCCAAAGCAGCATAAGGTGGTGAGACTCGTGAGGCACCATCCAGGCAGGATTTGTGGTGCAGGAGCATCAGAGTAGGGTGGGATGTGGTCAGTGGGGCTCTGTGCCCGTTGCTGACTGGGGGCTCCTTTGGGGCTGACAGGGAGCAGAAGGGTGAGCCTGGAGAAAAATCCCTGGAGCTCTGGGGGTATCTGGGGTGCAGCAGCCCCGGATTGCCTGCAGGGCTCAGCTCCCCACTGTTTGCAAAGCTCAGGGACAAGCCACAGGCAGCACCAAGGCTCTGCCAGGCTTGAGACCTGGACTGGAAACCAGTGTCACCAGCCTGAACTGGGGCCCATCCTCACTGGAAACCAGTGTCACCAGCCCCAGCTGGAGCAGCAGCAGCCCTGGGAAAGCTGCAGTTTGATTTTATACTCCTGCTCCAGGTCGCCACCCAGTCCAGAGGGATCATGGCCAGGGGAGCAACATCTCCCCACTGGTGAATAACCATCATCCCCTATGACATCCTTTCATCTGGCTGCCCCATGGATGCTTTCAGGGATGTTTTTCCAGGGATGTGGTGACAGGGACAGTCTTAGTGTAGGGGTTCAGTGGGAGAGCAAAGTGAGAGCAGTTCACCAGGGCACAGACAAAGCCAAGCTTTGCCCTGGGAAATGGCAGGTGAAGGACAACATCAAGCACCAAAACCAGCTTTGGGGGGTGGGGGGACACAGCTGAGCCCCCTCCAAATCACGAAGGGGCTGAAACCTTCTCTTGCATGAGAGGTGAGAGTCTAAATCCCTGGGGATTCACTCAGGGGAGCCAGCTTAGGTGCTTCAAAACATCCTCCTGGCACCTTCCTGGATCTCTGCATGTCTTGAGTCCTTTGGGAGACGCTGGAGAAGCTGATCCCACTGCACCACTGAAACACCAGGCTGAACCTGAACCTGAACTCCAAAACCAGGCTGGGGGGGGGAACTGCCTGTCCTGGATGTGAAGTTATGGGCAGAAAATGGGCTGTCGGGGGAGGCAGCTGCAGCCCCGCCAGCCAAGCCTTCCTCAAAGCTTTCACTCCTTCCACTTCATTAATAAAAGGGGAAAAAAATAAGAGACGGGGGCCTTGACATCAAAAAAAATACAGACTGTGTGTTTTAGAGCAGAGTTTCCTGTAACCACCTCTCTCCGGTTCCTTTTCATTCATTTTCTCCATTTTGTCAGTGTGGACCCAAGGCAGGTCAAAGGTTTAAGCTTTTTTGGAAAGATTTGTTTCCAAAAAAATAAAAATTGGCTAATCTTCACATTTTGTTACCTTCTCACCAGACGGGGAAATACACGGTCAGAGCTTAGGGTTGTTTTTTTTCCTTTTTTCCTTTTTTTTTTTTTTTTTTTTTTTTTAATGAAAGCATCTGGCCTCCATGACATGCTCTGAAAAAAAATACCCCATATATTTTGCAACGTGTTAAAAAGCCGTGCTGGGGCTGCAGGGCTCTGCTTCTTCCCAGAGCCTGGGACCAGTTGGCACGGTGTGTTTTTAGAGAGGGGGTGATTCTCCTCCATCTCTAGCCCAGTGGGGGGAAATTAGGTTATGAAAAGGCAAATGAGAGAGTTTTGCCTGGTTTTTTTTGGGAGGGGGTTTGTTCTCCTGCTGTTAATTTATAGAAGCAGGATTGGCCCTGCTTGGGCCTGGCCAGGCAGCTGAGACAGGCAGGTGGATGGGCAGGGGGTTATAGCTCCCAGGGCATGAGGGAAGAGTGGGGAAAAAGGGAAAAGCTCAAAGATTTAGTCAAAAAGCACTTTACAGTTGGGCTGCACCAGCCTGCACTGAGTCCCTGCCTGCTCTCCCAGCCAGGGCTGTCGTCACCACCCGGGATTTCCCCTCTATCTCTGCTGGTGGGGACAGTCAGCACCAGTCAGCAACCCTAGGAGGGCTGGGTAGTCACTGCCTGGTGAGGATACTTTCCTGGAAGCTGAGTTTCCATGAGCAGAAATGTGTTCAGACTCCCTGGAGGATGCAATCCCAGCCGACTGCAGCTCCCATCCTTCTCTGCCACCCCTGCACTGTGAGGAGCTGCTGTCAGCAGGAAGCCCACTGGTCCAGCAGGAGCTGCCTCCAGTCTTGTATCTCCTCTTCCTCACCGTGCTGTGGGGCCAAACGCTCCCTTCCCTCGAGGATCCCTTTCCTTCCCTTTGGTTTAAACTCAAGTCAGGTTTAAACCCAAGGATGTCACCTGAGGAGGGCACAGCAGCACCTGAAGGGATGGCAGGGGACATGGATGTGATTCAGCAGGGGTGGGGGGTCCAAGGAGGAGGAGGAAGACGAGAAGGAAGGCTGGCAGAAGCCTGGCAAGAGGTGCAGGGGTTTACGCAGCATCAGCCACAGGCTTGGAAAACATCATCATCTTGCTTATGGATCACAGTTGTGCTCCCATGTCAGTCTTGCTTTGGGAGTTTGTGATCTCCTGGTTCTCTGCCAGGCTGCTGCACACCAAGGGATCCCCTCAAAGCCCAGTGCTGCTATTCAGCACCTGCAGAGATGCTCCAGGGACTGCCAGAGCCAGGAGTAAAGTTGGACACTGCCACTGACCTCTCCTTATGATCACTGAGCCCCACCCTCAGTCCTTCATCTGTGCTTTTACCAGCAATGGCTTTTTCCACAGCAAGACGTGGACAACTCTGACTGAGGAACATCTGGAAACATCTGACACAAGTCCATCCATAGGTCTGAACCTGCTCCAAGGCCGGGGTCTCATGAGGAGCTCCCTCCTTGCACTGCCCCTGAGCAGATGGAGCCCCACACAGGTCTTTTCTACCTTCACATTCCAAGTGCTTGGAGACAAGGACCAGCCCTAGTGTTTTGCTCCAGATTGGAGCTCATCTTCTCTTAAAACCTGGGGCTGCCTGAGGGTCCAGGTGCAGAAGCACCAAGTTGCCCACCCAGTGAGGAAGGGAGAGCAGAGGGACTGGAGGGTTCCTGCAGAAACACATCCTCTGGCTGAAGCATGAGCTGCTCTCTGGACATGTGGATTGGAAAGAATATTCATCCCAGGTCCTAGGACACAGTCTGGGGCTTGGCACTGTTTGGGAACAGGCAGTTCCCTGCCCTGCCCCCTACAACACCTCCTGCATGGGGCTGTGCCCTGTGCTCAGGCCACCCCTGAGGCTGGAGGCAGCAGCTGTCCCAGGGTTTGGTAATTCTCTCTGTGCTTGTGGCTTCAAGGGAAAACACAAGTCTGGTGTACACGAATCCACCTGGTTCCTCTGATCACTTTAATTAGTTCGCAGGACAGATGTTGCTGCACCAACAGCCCTGAGAACTGCTCTGTCTGTGCTTCTTTTCCAACCACATCCTGGGAGATGCTGGTCCTCCCTAGGACACAAAGAGGAGGATGAGCAACCTGCTCCCTGCCACTGCTCTGGGCAACCCTGTGTCATTCCCAGGGCTCCCAGCACAAGGAGTGCCAAGGTTCTTGCTGTTACAGCCACTCCTGCAGCCCCCATGGGCTCCCTGGGGAGCAAGGGCTGTGTGTGGCAGCAGAGCTGGAGAGCATCTCCCAAGTCTGTGGTGGTCTTAGAACCTTTGCTGAGACCCTCAGACACCAGAACTGGCTGCTCTTGCTCATGGTGGGTGGCCTGGGTACAGGGTCAGTTTTGGGGCACCCACCACCCCTGTCTGCTGCCACCCCCAGCCTGGGCTCTGGAGACAAAACCCCTCTTCCTCACACAGCCCATTAGGAGGATGTTCTGAAATTCATTTTCTTCTCACCAGCTCAAACAGTAACATCTTTTCCCCTCTTGCCTCGTGTCTTGTTTTTTTTCCAGCTGTCCAGATCCACATCCTGAAAGCGGAAAAAAATGCCGACTGGTGGAAGTTCACGGTCAACATCATCTCCGTCTACAAACAAGGGAGCAACCGGATACGGCGCGGAGACCAGACCCTGTGGATCCACTCCAAGGACATAGCGTGCAAGTGCCCCAAAATCAAGCCCATGAAGAAGTATTTGCTGCTGGGCAACAACGAGGACTCTCCCGACCAGAGCGGCATCATTGCGGACAAAACCAGCCTGGTGATCCAGTGGCGGGATACGTGGGCCCGGCGGCTCAGGAAGTTCCAGCAGCGGGAGAAGAAGGGGAAGTGTAAGAAAGCCTAAAAGGAGGAGAAGGCCACGGAGGGCGCGGGAGGGAGAGACTGACTGTGCATGCTGCTTTGTGTAGAGCTGGGGCGGGCAGGGACCGGCGACGGGGACGCGCCGCCGGCGCGGGCTGGGGGGACGGGAGGGGGATCACGGACGTGGGTGGGGCTGTCGGGACTGCACCTCATATTCCGGGGAGAAAACAAAACTAAACCCAATGAAAATGATCGTGCACATGGACACAAACCAAGAGGAGTGTGGGTGCGGCACCCAGGGCCCCCCTCCCCAAGGCTTCTTCCTGCCCCCCCATTGCCGAAGAACTCAGAGACACCAAACTGCCTTCCAGCTGCCAACATCTGCTGCGTCCAAAGCATGGCATGGGAACATCAGACCTGTAAGAAACTAATCAACAGCTACGCTGGAAATTAACTCCCCACCCCCAAAATACGTATTCGCAGCTTAGGTTGACCGAGACAGTTATTGTAGAGGAAACTAAACAGAGACTTTTCGCCGAGGACAGATCCGAGATAGACTGATGGGTTGTCTGAAGACTTTGGTACCCCAGAGCCGTAACCACCACCCGCTGTGTGGCCCCTGGGGAGGCTGAGGTCTCCAGCCGTGATGATGCTCTGAGCCCATTTAGGCACAAAGAGGGGACCCTGTTGGTGGGCGTAACTCGGGGAGTGACTCCTCGCTGCAGCCCCCATGCCCTGAGGAGTGCTGTCCCCACCACGCTGAAGGAGCATGAGCCCTCCCAGCCACCGATTCACAGTCAAGGAGTTGATAACCAGGTTCCCCAAGGAAACACCCAGACTTGGCTAAAAGCTGGCATCCATTCCCCAGAAGTGCTCCAGAAGATCCCCGAGTCTCCACTGTGGCCACCCCTGAGATCTCCACGGGCTCGGTCCTCTCTGGTGCTGTCAGCAGACCGTGAACCCTCAGATGACAGAAAATCTGTGCAGGTGACACCCAGGTCCTGGCTGCCCACTGGTTTCACTCCCAAACTCAGGCAGCTCTCCCAGATCCACACCAGCTCTGCCCTCACTCCCTCTGGAGCTGTAGCTCCCTGGCATCCCAGCATAAGGTGGCCACCTCCCTGGACACAGCGAGTGCCAGGGACTGTCCCCGTGGGGCCAGCGTGGAGCTCTAAGGCTTGGCTGAGGCAGAGCCCATGCAGGGCAGGGACCTGCCCGAGGGAAGGGACTGGATGAACAAGGTGTGACCCACCTGGAACTCCCCAGACTGTTCTCCTCCTTCTGCTCGGGGTGAAAACCCCAAATTCAAATTTCCCCATTCCAAATCACAAACACACTAAGCGAGGCAGGGGCTGCCTCACCTCCAGCCTGCATCCCGAGGGCAGGACTGGCTGTTGAGCTGTCACCCAGGCATTGCACCCCCCTGCCAGGCTGCTGCCCTGCCACACCAGCCCATGAGGAACGGGGATATCCGAGTTCACCTCATCCAGGGAGACAGGAAAGGCAGGGAGGGCAGGACGGGTACCTGGAGGAGAAGCAAACATTAGTCGCTATGAAAAGCAAAACCTCCCTGATATTTTTCCTTTTAGGAAACTTGGAAACATCTATTTTATGACATTTTCCAGTGGTTTTGCCTTGTTTTATAGCAATTGACAATATTTATATAATGACATAAACCACCATAAAGCGAGGCAGCCATGTAAATAGGTGCAAAGTGGAGGCTCCCAGGGAAGCTCCAGCCAGCATCGGGCTGCTGGAGACACCACCCGGAGGGAGCGAGCTCTGCTCAGCCTCCCCCTGCCACCACAAGGCCCTCCAAAATTATTCTGGGTATTAGGAGAAAAATCCCACCCTGGACATCAAGCAAATCCCCCTCAAGTCTGTGTTTTCCTCCCTTTCCCAGAGTGGACTTGGTTTTTCTCATCTCAGAGCTCAAGGAGGGGTGACGGTTTTGCAACGCAGGGAACCCAAGCCACCAAGTTTTGAGGGATACAATCTGACCTCAAGTGTCTAAATGGAGACTTAAAGCCCCTGGATGGGGGTTGGATGCTCTCCTGCAACCAATGTCAGCTGATGCCAGGGACACCCCATCAGCTGGAGACAGCATGTCCTTGGTTAGTTGGGATGCTCTGAGCCACAGGAGACCTTCAAATGGCCTAAAACCAACAGGATCCAACCCAGAGCCAGTTCACTTGGAGTGCAGGAAGGCAAGGCCAGGGGACACGAGGACTTGGGAACTGCCCACTGAGCACACCCAGCGCTCACTCCCGTTTTCCAACCTTGTCAAGCACAGCCGCCCTCCCCAGCACAACCTTGACACCCCAAAACCACCCAGGGACACGCCCCAGCCCCTTCCCCGGTCCCACTGCTCTCAGAGGCTGCAGAAGAACCACCACCCACTCCATGCCATGGCCAGACCCCTCCGGGCACCGACACAACCTGGGAAATCTGAAGGAAAGGAGTTTGCACAAGACATGAAACAGCTCCCACAGGAGTGAAGTCCCCATCCCTGTCCCACCAGGACCCGGTCCCGTCATCCCTGTTGGAGTTTTGCATTTCCAGGCAGACCAGGGAAACCCCTTCCCCTCCATGCACGGTCCCCCAGTGCCCTCCCAGTAACGTTGACCTGCAGGAGCTGCTGGTGGAACTGGTGCACAGCCTCCCCCACACCCATTTTCGGGTTGTCCAGGGATGCAGCGCTGCCCTGCAGCCAGCCCCTGCTCCAGGACATCTCCTAGGGGGACACCTCTGTCCAGTCACCTAGAGAGGGACAAGATGGCCCCCCTAAACAGCCCCTGGATGGCCGGGGGTGCAGCTCTGCGGGGAACCAACGACCAGCAAAGAACCCGGACACCCCCATGGCCCTGGGGACAGGACGGGGGTCCCGGGGGGCAGTGAGGGGGCGACCAGGGAAGGGGCTGTGGTGCCTCCAGCAGGGCTTTGGGGAGCAGCTGAAATGCCAAAACAATCATCACTGACGGTAGCACCCGACAAAAGTCGCTTCGTCTCGTTTCTGTTCGTCTCGTCGTGTCCGTGCCCTCTCCCCGCACACCCCCCTCGTCCCCTCACAAAACCTGTGTTGTTTTGGGGTTCAGTTGTTTCTGTTGATTTTTTTTTTTTTTTTGTTATTTCTGTTAATATCTTGAACTGTAAATGTTGTTTAGTTATGACCATGGCAGACTGCTTTGGGCGATGTTTCTTTACAATGCATACTAATATATTATGGTTATTATATATGAATATATTTAATGACACGTGAAAAAGTTGTGGATTTTCTTATTGTTTTCCCCAGTTGTTTCCTTTTATTTTTTTTCTTTTGTTTTTATTTTTCCCTCCCTCTTTGTTTGTTTGTTCGTTAGATTGGCTGTAATTTACCTGAAGGAGCTTGTAACTGTTCAGCACCCACTCGGTAGAACTAAAGTCAGAAACCAGTTGAATAAACTCTTGTAAACTGTATAAACCTCCACGGATCTCTGCTTCCTCCCACCCCTCAGGCTGGCAAGGGACAGGGAAGTGACGGTGTCCCCTCTGCCTCCCTAGGTCTGCCGATGTCCCCTTGGCAGGGTTGAGGTGGCACAGCTATTTTTGACTGTCAGTCCCAGCCTCATGTCCCCCAAATATCTCCCTGGCACTGCTCCCCGCCCTTGGGGACAGTGGGGTCACTATGGGGAGGGGGCGGTGGGATAGGGGGCCCCTCCCAGCACCTCTGCTGCCAGAGGAGACTGATCCCTGCAGAGGGACAGAGCCAGGGCCTGCCAAAACCCGTGGAACCCCACAGAGAGTTGGGGTACAGGTGAGGGGACAGGAGAGAGCCAGAATCTGGGCTCAGGGGGGCTGCCAACCCCACTCCACACCTATTTCTGTCCCGTGCACAGGGACTGTCCCCAGCACTGTCCCTTCCTGCCCATCCTCTTCATCAGCTCCACCACCCATTGCCCACGGGGCATCAGTGGGGCCAGTGCTGCTGCTGCCCCCGAGCCCAGGCCAGGGCTGGTGGCACCCACAGGATGGAAAGCTGGAGGAGGGGGGGGAAATGAGGCAGCAAAACACTTCCAGGGAGAAAAATACAGGCAAAAGGTCCTGCAAACTGCTGAGGGGTCAGACCCCTGACCCTGCCCTCGGCGTCACTGGTAATTTATGAATCCGAAAACATCTCGGAGGTCAGAAATCTCAGATCTTTATTGCACAGACAAATGGGCCACAAGTGACACCCCCTCTGCTCTGGGGCCGCCGCCTGTGGCTCCACTGAGGAGCAAATGGGTTTCCCACATTGCTGCGGCTCCAGGCAGGTGGCCAGCTGTCCAAAGGTGACACAGTGGCTCTGGAAAAAGGGGGTTGAGCCTCTTCCCACTGAGGGCCAGACCCGGAGCGGTTCTCCCAGCCTGGTCCCACCAGGCAGCGTGGGAGACCAGCCGTCCACGCACTGAGCTCAGCACCGAGCTCACACCAGAAATGAGGGCATGGGAAAATGCCCAGCAGCCTCCCAGGGTCATCCCTGTCCTCGTGTAGGAGCTGGGGACGTTTTACTCAGGGGGCTGTGACATCCCAAGTGCATGCAGCACGTACCAGACCTTCCCCCAGCACTTGTATTTTTGATAAAATAACAACTGGAAGCGACTGAAGTCCTGAGCACGTCGTCCAAGAGAGAAATGGAGGAGTGGAAGGGAAAGCAGAGGGAATGAGTCTCTCTGGGCACATTCCAGGAAGACCTTTGCTTGGAGAAGCCACTGCAGGTTGGCTTCTCCAACCCTGCTGCTCAGAGCCAAAAACCAGCGGCCCTCATATTTTAACCTTCCTTTTTCTTTAGCGGGGCAGGGAGACAGCACAGCTTTCCTCCTCCCAGCAGAACACTGCCAAATCCACTGCTTTTTAATAAAATTCCTCACCCACACGACACATTAAATGTTACCTAAAGGGCAAGTCTGAGAACCCCTTTGTTCGACATCTCGGAGAGCAAATCCTCGTGTTTCCACCCAACAGCAAAAATGTGTCCGAGGACCCAGTGGGTCAGAAACCGCCTTTTCAAAGGCTCAGCCAGAACAAAGTCACAATGTAACGTCGATCAGGATGAGTTACACGTCCATCCTGCGAGTCCTGGGAATTCAAACAAAACCTTAATTCCCCCTGTAAATGACAGTTTTAATTAGAAGCCCAAG